ATAATAATAATAATAATATAATTCAAATGGTTCACGAGGTACGTACGCAAGCAGCTCGTGGGTAATGTAATTCATTAGCATAACGTGAGCTGCACATTCCCTGAGTGATTTACAACTTATAATGGTGGAGATAGCAGTTAGACATGGTTCAAAGGGCAATAAAACAATAAAATTTAATTATAATTAGATGTATAATGTTACGAACTTAGAGCTACTTAGGAAAAACGAATGTAGTTTCAAGTTACAATTTGAAGTTATTCTAGAAATAAAAGAAGGTTAATTTAGGTTTATTTCGAGTTTTTTTTTTTCGGTGGTTATATTGGTAGGTCGAATTGTTCAATTCTGTTTTGAGATAGCGTTGAGAAAATAACATATAAACTATAAAGATTTAGTGAAAAAAAAACGTCTGAAATGCATTTAGGAGGTTTTAGGGATTACACAAAGGAAATTTGAGATTTTTGAGATGATGAAAAGTATTTTTAATTTTAACATGAATATTACTTTTCACACGGACTATTCAAAACAAATACTCAATATATTCATGGACAAAACTTTATTTTATTTTGTTAGAAATACTTCACTAAGAAATATAACTTTTTGTATGTGAAAGACTTGTAATATTAACTGAAAGACTGCTAAATTTCATGAAGATATACCCAATATATAGAGAGTTATAAGTATCAAATTTATATCAACTTGAAATGAGTACAAAAGGTCACGTGACTCGGTCAAATTGACCGACCCCATGTTGGGAGAGTTAACATTCAAATAAGAAAACTAAAATATTGTTAATAGTTTGCATGTTTTATGTCAAATACATCTATCTAATATTAATAAATTTATCTGAAAACTAATAATTTTGTTTCGTGAATTTTTTTCTCATCTAAATTCCTCAATCTGAATAAACCTGTAATGTCATGAATCATCCTATACTTAACCATAAAATTGAGACTTGATCATACAGAAATTAGTGGCTGTTTTGGTTATCACAATTTCTGGCAAACAATAAAAATCACTAGAATTGCCTTTCAATATTAACTTATCATTTGATCTTTTGGACAGTGTAACTTTTATACTTATCATATCACCTCTTGCAAAGAAATCTTCATTTCAAAATGAGTTCTTCCCATTGTTTATGTCAAGTTTACAATGAAAGTCCATTGTGTTTTGCAAAGTAATTTATTTACAGAAGATCTGTTTTGATGGCTAAACTAGTCAACAGACATTGGCAGAGACTGTAAAGCCTCCTACATTGACAAAACCAAATACCATGTACTAGTTAGAGCCAATGAACATATGAGAGTTCCATGAAAACATAAAAAGTTGAGTAACCCGTGTTTCCACTATACACCAACATAGTGAAGAAACAGGATGTGAACTTATCAAATTTCAATATCCTTTGCCAAGATAACACCGATCTAGAATTACTGATTAAAGAAAGTCTCCACATCAAACAACTTTCACTAACACTGAACAACATGCAGTCTTCATTTAAATTGCACATTTTCTAATATGTAGAGTATTTTGTTTGTTACTCATTTAATTTTTATGTTGTTGTAGTTTTCATTAAATTACTGTTATTATAGCTATGTATTTAAGTTACTTATTTAGGAATGATGTAATTCTTTTATTTTGCTTTAGATATTGAAGATAGAATCTGCTAAATTCCAAAACATTTATCTGTGTCCCCTAGTTTTATAAATAAACAATGTTGTTTATCTCAAGTATCGTTATCCCTTTTATTGCAAACTTAGTTTTCCTAGGAAAACATAAAATTTATGTCTATTTTCACGAAATAACTTTCTCTAAAAAACAGTTAAATAGGATTATCTAAACATTGCTTGTCAAGAAGAACAAAATGACAATGTATCTTTACATTCTCATAACAGATGTGATAATATCAGATCATATAGTTTCGAGTAATGATATAACTGTGAAATATACTTTAATCCAGTCATACATGTAAAAACTTATAAAATGCACAATTATAAAAAAATAAAATGCAACCTTCTCATTACAGGCTCAGTTATAAAATGCAGTTATAAAAAATAAAACACAACCCTCTCTCTACAGGCTCAGTCACATCAGCTGAGTTCAAGACCCCAAAATGACCTTTATAGTTTCCATACTGTAACTTATAATATATTTTGTGTATCTTTACAACATTTTGATAGTTTTCAGTACTCATTAACCCTTTACTAACACATTAAATTCCTTTCTCCACGTCACCGAATTACATTCAAAATTTAAAAATTATTATCATCAAGTACATTATATTTCAAAGTTTAATATTATGTTAGTTTTATTCCTTTATTCCAAAACAAACTTTGAAAGCAATAACAAACATTTTAAATTGTGTTGTCTCATGATGCTTGAGCTATAAACAATTTCAAACTTTCACAAGATTTAACTAGTAATAAAACTGTAGTCCTGTACATGTGTGTCTAGACAGTAATGTACATTTACTTGCTCTATTGATAAGTATGTTTCAAAGTTCTCTGGCTGAATGCAGAAGAAACAAGTAATAAATTTTGTCAACCTCTGATGGGTGCCATGCCCACCTTCTGTACTTATCCTTGATCTTTACAAGCGACATCTACTTACTTCACACACATGTTTTTAGTCATTAGAAAGAGCTCATTTTACACTATAATCCATCAATGGTTATTTTGAAATTGGTACCAAGTTGTCATTATTGGGAAAGTGTAATTGCCTGTAGTATTGTTGGGTGCTTTGTTCATGATGGCACTTCAGTTGTTTCTTACCTAAATATGTTATAGTTAGAGAGAGAGTTAAATTGTATTCAGGTTTTACTTTTGGATTTTAGTTAATTATGCATTATTTGTGTTTTAAAATTCATACTTGAAAGGTTTAATAATTTTTATAAAATAACCAGAGCTTCCCCTCATTCTAAAAGGCTGACATTAGCAAGTGAGTACAAAAAGATTTTGTTGGAGGCTGACATTCATACTGTTCTATTGCCCTTGGGTACCCACTGTCAACATAAACAATCAGTGGTAAAGATCAGGAAAGAAAAATAAAACATTAAAATTAAACTATTTGTAAAAAAAGGTGAAAGCTTGAAATTATGCATATAACCTAAAAATAATTTTTAAAGATTATTCAACAAAGAGTTAAAAAGTATGTACATATTTCTATTTCTTAATTTTAAATATTTCATTGCATTGTATGTTGATGATATAGCTAGAATTAGTGACATGGTAGAGGAAATGGAAAATAAAATATAAACATTTACCTTAAAAAACTTTTGATATTCATAAAATATAAACATTTACCTTAAAAAAGCTTTTGATATTCATTAAGGAGTTTCTACAGATTATGCAAACAAATGTTAAATCTGTAAGATAATAAATAGTACTTTTATACTCAAAATGAAAATCACCTTACAAGTGGACTCTTCTGAACCCAA